TGTTTGGAAGATATGGAATTCAGAAAAACGATCTCATTAAAATCAATAAATATGGATATCGACAAAAAAGTATATAACGTTCCTCTCGCTCTTTGTATAATCCGCTTATATTTTTAGCGCATTTTCCAAGGAATGTGGGTGCGCTATTGCCAGCCACTTTCTCTGTCCGTCCGTCTGTCCGTCCGAGGCTTCTATTTCCACAGTTTTCAAGATATTTAGTTCGTTCTTTTTGCATTCGGTTTATGGGGCTGTACGGTGTACCTTGAAAGAAAATGTAGGAACTATAGTTTGTTGTTTTTAAAGGAAGTTAATTACACTTTGAATTTACAAATATGGACAAAGAAAACCTACTATTACTAATTTATTTTAGTTACATTTGCAATTTGTAATTTAGGATATATCTAAGTAGGGTTGCCACATGGCCGGGATTTTCCGGGATTGTCCCGGAATTAGCTGCACTGTCCCGGATCCCGGTTTTTCATAATATATAAATCCTGGAAAAATATCGGAACGTCTTGAATAAACATTCAAAATTTGCACTTGCCCAAACCCAAATAGTGGCGACACTGAACTAACCAAAAGAAATAGCCACAAACCTGGATCGCGGGATCGTGACGTGGGGGAAGGAGGAGCTGGTCCTTCGTGGTACATGGCAGAAATATATCTATTGCTGAGGTCAAAACGTTAAGAATGAATATTTGGCAATAATTTATTGACCATAGCTGTTAGTTTCGTGAAGTAATTAGTTCTCAAAGAGACATACAATTTTCACTGCTGCGTTTTAGGAGAAAAAATAGTTCGTTAGTGCCCGTTTGAGGACAATTAAATTGTTGGACCCTTTAGATCATATAAACATGGATAGAGCTATCTCATAAGCTCTACTAAAAGACAACCGTCGCCAACATTTCAACGTGCATTTTTATGCCTATCATCTTTTACTATTAGTAAGTTCAAAGTTGTAATGTATTTATCCTTTGCCGGGTTGATTGTAAAAGTGCGCAAGCTTGGCGATTGTAAGGACGTTTGTCCGTTTGACATCGTATATTCGCAAACAGCTGTTTTTGTTGTTTAACCTTGCTTGACTTTACATGGTTATATATGAAACTAAACTTTTAATACAGTTCTGTACCACTAAATTGTCCTATAAAGATGTATTATTCGTGTATGGAGAACCTTTTTTACCCTCAATAATAAATATTGCATTGTTTATTAACATTGTGAGGTTAAAGATTTGAATTTTCTGATTGATTACTATCACTGAAACTGTACATGGAATAACAACATATAAATTGTACGTCGACAAGAGAGATACAGCACAAAAGTATGTAGAGTCTTGAATCAGAACATGTTGGCGACATAGTGTAATTGCATCGCTCCATCGATGTTTATATGATCTAAGGTTGGACCAAAACGACGGGGACCGAAATGAGCGCCGGGACTGAATCGATCTGACCCGAAACAGCTTCGTGTCCATTTGGTTGATTGGGTTTAAAAAAATTGTCATTGGTAGGTATCCTTTTTCAGCAACACTCATCTTATGAATTAACCGCACATCTCTATAATCATAATATGTATTATACTGTGGTATAATATTGTTCGTCATAGATCATAGATAAATCCACTTTTATTTATGATTACCCGTTGAATGTATTAATCGCAACCCAATATAATTTTATGATGAAGAAAAGGAAACGACAAGGACAACAGGCAACTAAGTCTCTTCCGGTTAACCAGTATTGACCAAAAATTAATCACTTAGTCGCTTGACTACTGTCTACCTATTACTGAAAACAGAACTGGAAAATTCGAAATCGTTCGGGAGTTATCATGTAGGTACACAGACGGACAGAAATTATAAATTCGCTTAGGAGCTCTTTTAATAATGAAGAACTCCCTATATATTTTATTGCCATAATGACCTTTAATGGAACGTAAACGTGTTATACAGTATATTAAAATGAGTGGAAACGAAGAATTAAATGGAATTGATAGTCTAATCTATAAAAATAAATGTTAAATGATAACTGTAGCATGTACCTGGCGTGGTATTACAGTAAGCCAGTGTAATATAGATATTACCCTGTTGAAGTTAAACACATTTGATATGGCTAACTGTACTGGGTTCAGCGACATCTACTGAAGAGAAGATTCAATTACAATTGGTAGCACCGAATGTTGTATTATGGGCGCACACCACTTTACAAATATATCGACTCGTGAGACATCTAGCAATTACAAATATGAACTAACCAAAATTCAAACGCGTTGTTTTACCAAAGAGTAACCATAATAAGAGATTCAACGGCATAGAGAATAGTGTTGCATATGTATTGTGTGTTGCCTAACAAATTTTACTGCTTTTTCTCAATTTTATTGGCGTACGCTACGCCTAAGGGACTATTTCAAGGCAACTACTTGTTTAGAAGTTTATAAATATCATTGCAGAAATCCCATCGTTGCCAAATGTTTAGTGTTTGCTTGTACTTATTTAGGTATCTATTATTCCATTCTACGCTGGCACAATTTATTAATGTCCGAACGCTTGTTGGTTTGATTCATAGGTGCGAAGATATGTTCTTCCTGTAACAATAAGCCGTTTTTTTAGCGGTAAATAATAGATTTTTTAGTGTGTATTGTGTATTCCCAGTAAGCGCGAGTAATAAGCTCGCTTTGATTACGTCTCTGCCCTTTGTACACACTGTTCGTCGCCCTACCGTCGACGGACGTATGGAAAAGTCGACCGAACTAGATCGTTTAGTTAGAGGAAGTAGTCTAACAAATGATATTTACTTCCGACTTGCGCGGAAATAAACGAACATTTTTTTTAAAAAAAAGGCCAATAGACATTTTATAGCCTTTATTGTACAAATAATAAGATAATGAAAGATTCCCGGAAAAAATGTTGCAATCACTTTTTAATTTTTGTCGGCCAAACTATAAGCAATATAATAAATCCAAAATAAACTGCCTCAATTGGATTATAGTTGTGATCGAATGGTTCAAATCGGTTAAAAATGTGAACTGTGGACCAACACAACCCCTGACGCAACCCCACCTCTTTAAAAATGGTTTCTATGCGATAACTTAAAAACTACTTGACCGATTTGGACCATATTTTTTACCAGTCGATGTGACTAATGTCCCCTTTAATCTCATTACATTTCAGTCCGATCGACCCACGCATTCCGGAGATATTTAAACGCTCCAGAAACCCTATATTTGGAGTGGAAGCCAATGTTGTTTTCAAAAATGAGAACATACACTGCATTATCAATCGTTTAGATGCATGAATCACTAGCAGAGTGCGCGGTGGCTCAAGTTGAGCGGCAAATTTAAATACAATATACTTATGTTTTTTCCGCTACTAGCCAATGGTGATTGAAAAACATGTGTACAACGCTTAGTTGCTAGGAGACCGATGCGCGCTAGTGCTGCAGCTTAAAATGCGGGTAGAGAGTATTTTTTTAATTGAATTGTTTAAATGACGTGTAAATATTTAATTAAATTTATTCGACGGGTGCAGATTTATTAATTTATTATTTAACTGCACTATATATTTTGACTGATTATTGGATTAGACTGATGTTTTTTTTCTGAGGACATAAGGATTATTGCATTGTAATGATTGATTGTTAATGATTAAACAACTCAGCGTATGTAGGCATCTACACAAAATTAAAGCAGACAAAATTTCCTGTAAAATAATCGCTATGCTCATCATAAAATCCAATTTTATGGAATATGTTGTCTACTTTAATTTGACTGTAGTAGACGATCTAAAAAGGATGGATAATAACAAATTTAATTTGCTTTTTTACAATTGTACCTGTTATTGGTTATTAAATTAAATAGTAATTACTATCTATTCAATATAGACGCCAACTAAACAGGAAAATACCAATGTAATTAACAATAGGTATTGAATCGTTGCTGATTTCTTTTATACTTAAGTAATGTTTTCTAATTATATCATGTCCACATTTTATACAGCCAATAAGAAAGAAAATTAAATGTGACAACCGCGCAAATATTTTAAACCGAAATTCTATAAAGAATTCTGTAAATGTTCAATACGCGCCAATATTTAAAGAGGCGGTTAGTTCTGGCACCTCTACGCGAGGGCCCGCTTTTGGAATCCTAGCGGGCGAGTTCTTATAGCCAACACGCGTTTATACCATTGCGCTGTATCTCTTATTATGGTTACTCTTTGGTTTTACTATTGTGTTATATTATGGTTTTATGTTAGTTATGCTTAGTAATGCTTTTCCATACACATCAACAATAAACGTATAGACAGTATATTAAAACACAAGATGCACAAGGTCACTTATTCTAGCGCGAGTCGAGTTCAAGTTTCGAACTTGAGCCGCGCATTTAAATTGTCACCTATGTAAAATAACGTTTGCATCATCAATAAAACAGGCGATGTATTACCTGCGTTTGACAGTATTTATTGATTTAAAGGTGTAATTCAGGTAACGTATCGATTTTGATCTTGATAGGATGTTAAACACTTTATCACAGCGTCACGTATCCATAAATCTACTCAAATTGAGTTTTGGATATACCAATACCGTATTGTTTGTTTACAACATAGTATTTCGTGTAGTACATTGATTTTATGTACGAGTGTGTTGGTTTTATATTTCGACCAAGTGGGTGATGATATGAGCTATATCCGTATTTATATTTAGTTTTCTTGTAGGTACTTTGAAACCCGCTAGTTCACTAAAAACGCGTGTTTCTGTTAAAAGTATCCTTGTTATTTATTTCAAAATAGAAGAGGTATCAAACAACCCTCTTATATTTTAATCTTAAGAGCGAATGTAACCCCAACTTGTGATAATTAGTTTGTGAACTTACTGGTCTTGACCTGGGGTGTTCTTTAGTAGGCTCGTATAAATCTTTCAACTATGCGGAAGCTGTGCGAAATTCGTCAGGTTGTTATTTGCTACATATGCAAAATCTTGGGTACCTGTCGGTTATTCACGAACACGATCTATAAACATTGGATATATTTATTTGCATAATAATAATCCAAAACTATAAATGATGCATTCTTAAAACGGGTTCAATCCAAGGGAATAGAGAAGGATGTCTCTACTTCATATTCCTCGTAACAAAATCGTATATTTCCGCATTGGAAATGTGAGTGTATACTCCAGGTTGGTTTGGAAGACCGCATCCTATACCCCATGACACGATTCCAACTATTTTTTTATCGATAACAATTGGCCCACCGGAGTCCTCCTACAAGAGAACGAATACAGTTTGCTAGGCGTTTTAGCGAAAATGTCTTACTTGACAAGAGTCCTTTCCTCCCGAACTATATCCGAAACAAATCATACGAGGAGTCACCGGATTTTCAGGGTAAAGCTTTTGACATTTTTCGTGTTTTACGTGTGGAACTTGCACCACTCGCAAGGTTTTGGAATACGTTCCGTCGTAATTTCCGTAAACGGTATTGCCCCATCCTGTTACATTTCCGAGTTGACCAACATTAACTTTGGAGTTTTTCGGTTGCAAGTCGATGACTTGAATGGTTGGCGATAGCACGAAGGGCTTTTCTAAGAGACCAACTGCGACGTCGTAATCATAATCATTCTGAGAGTACTTTTTGTGGACAATTAGGTCAGATGGTTTCCTAACTTCACCCCCTGTGTCTCTAAGTGTAGAACCTGCTCTTACAGTAATGTCGCGAACTGACCACCTGCAAAAAATTACATAACTACGTTAAGTTCCGATGCAAAACTTGGTACCCGTAAACACAATGTGCGGCAGTAACAAAAGCATTTCGTTTAATTAATGATGCACCACATGCATGTCGTCCTTTTCTTTCTAACGATAATTGGTATGGAAATTCTTCGATATCTGTTTCGTTACCACCAATTATTCTATATCCAATTTCAATGTCTGAGGTGTCACGTTTGAATAATGGAGGTGGAAAGTTATAAACCATGCCAAAGCAAATCGTGAATGACCATATGGTCAGTAAAAATAGCGCCATAACAAACATGACTACTAGTTTGCGGAAGGCCAAGTTATCCTTTTATAATGAATATTTATCTATATTGTATACTGTTTATTATTGTTAGACACGCTTTTCCAGTAAACTTTTTATAGACTTTTCTAATGATCGAACTGAATACAAATCGTGGTACTCCATTTTGGCTTTATACGTTTGTGAAGTATGAAAGTGTGTGAAAACGTTAAACAGAAAAGATTAGTTTTTATTTTTCAGGTTAAGATTTTTAAATGTAGATTTAAGTACCTACCTATAGGGCGTATCAGTTATCAGACCTTGTATTTTACAGGCCTAACTTGATAAATAGTTATTTAGGTACCTATAAAAGTCAGGAAAATGACATATTACCACAGATCTAAACACTCATATTACTGGCGAGGTGGCTCCCAAACGAAAGACGTTGGATCCTCGGATTATTTGGATAAAGTGCTTGTATTGATCCCCTCTATCACCCAATTTAGTTTACATGCGGTCATGTAACACCCTGTATATCAAGGTAGAGAAGCCTAGTATTATTGCCTGAGCACGAAGATTACACCCTGAGGTGCCGAGGGATGTAAGGTCCGTAATAGACTTCTCTATCGTGGTGTATGCAGGGTGTCTTAAATTGAGTAGGATATCTTTGTTATTATTATACTTACAGATTCGGTTAAACTGGCAAAGTTTACGTGTAGGTAGTCCATGATGCTGATGGATTCCGATGATATTTTGAAAAAAAAAATTCGTTTCGTAGATAATTGGAAAAATGTGAAAATCGACATTTTAAAAAAGTTCAAATATTTTAGTAACAAAGAGCTATCGAAAAAAGTTTCAAATAAAAGTTGCAAGATTCGATCGGATAAATTCAATGGACGTAGAAATTTTTTTAAAAATAGCGGTTGTCGAGATATTGACATCAAATTCCTTGTTTTAAATGGACGCCATATTGGATTTTTACGTCACTCGATAGAGAAAAAATTACAAAACAGTGATACTAAACACTTAGTATTTCATTTGGGAATCAACTTTACATTTTTGCCTCGAAGTTTAAAATGTATTTCTTATGGCAATAATTCCATGGCCGATTGTGATTGAAACCATTTTCGTTCGTTTATTGTCTCGCTCACTGGTTTTGTATTTTTGTCTCTATCGAGTGACGTAAAAATCAAATATGGCGTCCATTTAAAATAAGGAAGTTGTCAATATCTGGAAATTCGCCATTTTGGAAATTTTTTTTACTCCAATTGAATTTATCCCATCGAGTCTTGCAACTTTTATTTGAAACTTTTTTCGATAGCTCTGTTTGTTACTATAATATTTGATTTTTTTTAATGGCGGTTTTTTTACCAATTCTCTACGACACGATTTTATTTTCAAAATCTCGCAATCGGAATATCCATTAGCATAAAAAACTATACAACTTTTCCAATTTAACCAAATCTGTAAGTATAATAATAACAAAGATGGCCATGTTATCCTACTCAATTTAAGACATCCTGTATAGTACTTTTTTCACTACTAGTAACGGGCGATCAAAAATGAGTTACTGTCGAGTCGCCTTTGGAAATTCAAGTTAAGTACGATTTGCCATGTAAACAAAAATTCCAAAGGTGACTCGACAGCAATCAAGTGCGTGGAAGTAACAGTCAAGAAGGCCATATTTTGTGGCAATTATTCATTTTAATGAACTTATCTGAACGTTTATTGAGCGAAATTTCGGGTTGTGATTTCTAAAAGTGACAGCGTGACAGTTCTCATTATTGACCACTAGTTAATAATGACCACATTATTAACTACTTTGAACAACTGGCGAGAAAGCCTACTTTACAAGTGGAAAAAGGGTTAATAATCAGACGTTAATATAGTGAAAAATAGTTATTTATTATACAAGCGAAAAATGTATTAGATTTTAGCTCGAGGTTGTGTTGTTTCCCGACGTGAGGCGGAGGGATACAAAAAACCGAGAGCTAAAATTTTTCCCGTGTATAATACACTATTTTTTCTGTGACGGGGAAAACGATATATTGAAGTCGTAAATGAGTCGTATCGAATAATCGAAATTTGAAGTTTTAAGCTGCAGATAGTGTGTTGTTTTTCTCGCGACAATACGAACTGCGTTGCTAAGGAAACTTCACTCAAATATCTGTCAATTCAGTTTTGTCATTTGATCAATGATTGTTTAGTAATCAGTAGTTATATTGAATGATACATAGCGATCAAAAATGAGTGACCGTCTAGTCACTTTTGGAATTTTTGTTTACATGGGAAATCCTACTTAACTTGAACTTTCAAAGGCGACTCGACAGTCACTCATTCTTGATCGCCCGTTATAAAGTTAACAATGTCTGATTATGAATTTTCTCTCACTTCATCTGAGTTAGTAGACGCAGTGAAAGTAGCGTCACAAAAATTGAATATCTTTACTTATGTGTATATGTGAGGTCCGCGAAAAAGTACTCATAATCATTTAATAAAAAGTGACATTTTTTACCTGTTAACAAAGATAAAATGTCAAACGTTTTTCCCGTCACAGAAAAAAATAGTTTTTTTTTAATTTTAGGTATCTATATACAGTGATATTCATGTAGAAGTAGACATAGGGATTTCCTATAGGAATTTCCTATGTCTACTTTTACATGATAAAAAGTCTCCTGAAAGAGGTCTAATTTTATGCAACCAAAATAACTACCTACAACAAATGAAGATCTGCCTGTCATATTAATTAATTTGAATATTATCGCTTTGACTTCCCTATTCTAATTTCGGTTCGTGTGCGATGTATTCAAGTAAAGCAAAAGTTGATATTTCCAATTGGTATAGTGCCGATAACACTTAAAGGAGCTTAACAGATTTATTTTCTGTGAAGCTAAAGCAACTAATATTCAAATTAATAATTAATATGACAGCCAGATCTTTATTTGTTTCAAGAAGTTATTTTGGTTGCATAAAATTAGGCGTCTTTCAAGAGACTTTTTATCATGTAAAAATAGACATAGGAAATCGCTGTCTATTTCTAGATGAATATCACTGTAGATAATCACAATCATAGGTGTTGACTTTTTTGGAACGAGGCGAGATTTATGCACTCAGAAATAACTGCCTTATTACTTTTCAAGTGTTTACCAGATGTTACCTCTCCGGTCACGTTCTACCACATTTCGCATCTTATAAACAAATGAGTACGTACTTCCTCTTTACTTCCCATATACTTCCTCGTACTTCCCGGGACTTCCAGTACTTCCCCGAACTTCCCTGTACTTTCCAGAACTTTCTCATAACTTCCTCTATTCTGTACAATTACTTCCCCAGGTGTTCTGAGAGGTAGGTTCAAGGATTCTATTTGAAACAAGTAAAAAGGTTTTCGCCCTAAGGCGAGTAACTTCAGCGCATTTTCCATGAATGATCAGTACTACTTCCCAAAAGGCCATAGCTATGTGCGCTGTGATTTTTTTTACTAGAGGCATATATGGTTAAAATTTCAAAGAATCTCCATAAACAAAAAAGTTGGCGTGGCACAGTTCGCGCATGAGCACATTTAATTTACGCTATAGGTATGCGATGATTTTATTCTGTTGGGCAATAAATCGTATTATTATTATTATTATGATTGTTTTTACTAGAAGCGTTTATGGTTAAACATTAGAGAGATATTTTCATAAGTAAAAAAGTTGGCATTCTGCAGTCTGCGCATGCGTGATTTTGATTTTTACTATGTGCGATATGTTTACTTTTCTTAATGACATTTGTAGTTTTAGATTTTTACTGCATGTGAGATGTTTTTCTTTACTAGAAGCATCTATGGTTAAAATTTCAAAGAAATATCTTGATAAATAAGTTGGCGCTGACTGCGCATGCGCACATCGCAATATCAGTTATATTTGCCTTTAATAGAAGCATCTGTGATTAAAATTTCAAAAAGAAGTCTCGATAAATAACAGTTGATATTGCGCATCCTGCATGATGCGCGCATTAATCTGATGTTTACAATATGCGATTCGTTTGCGTACACTAAAAGCAACTTTGGTTAAAATTTCAAAGAAATATTTCCATAAATAAGAAAGTTGCCATTGCGCCGTCTACGGTTGCGCACGTCTGATTTTTACTACATGTTATATATTTGCCTTTATCAGAAGTATCTGTGGTTAAAATTACAACAAAATATATTAATAAATAAGGAAGTTGACATTGCGCAGTCTGTGCATGCGCAGTTTAATTGTCAAGATTTTCCTGGGCTCAGGTACTAGATCTATACGCTACCGAGTGCAAAAAAAAACGAACTTAATATCTTGAAAACTGTAGGAGTAGTTAAGGCCTCGGACAGACGGACGGGCAGAGCAAGTGGCTGCAATAGCGCACCCAACTTCTTTGGAAAATGCGTTAAAAATTAAGTTGCTCTACACTTTACCGGAACTGGTAGTCCAAAAGAAATGACCCTATATGCCCTCGGCTACACCCCAATATTCGTCTCATGTATCCAGTTATACCCCCGTAAATCATTCCTGAAACTGCAAAAATGCTTGCATCAAAACTATCGTATGTAACTATTATAATAATAATACTTTATTAATCCTCTGAGCTCATAAATGCTATGGGATAAGTCAATTCAAATCAATGCATTTACACTGAACATATAAATTTGTTACACTATTTTGTATAAAACTAATACTATACGTATACATATGAAAACAAACTTAACAAGAAACACAGTGTAAAATGACTAACTAGTGAACATTATTTTCCGAGTTATTTTCCAGGTACTCAGCGACAGAATAATAGCTATTATCTATTAATAATTTGGTAACAGCATTTTTAAAGTGTGATAATGGTCGTAATGTTTTTACCGATGCTGGTAGTTTATTGTATAACCTTATAGGCATTACGTAAGAGCTTCTGGTTGATAAAGAATTTTTGTGGATTGGTAAATGAAGAGTTTCACCGTGCCTTAAATTGTATTGCGAAATGTGTTTACTTTTTATGAAGTCCATTTCGTGTTTGTATACATAAATAACACACTGTAAAATGTAGATAGAGGGAATTGTATTTGAACAAATTTCTACAAGAATAAGTGGGGGGCTTTCCACACGTAGCCCTTTCCATACGCTTTTGTATTTTTAAAATATTAACTATTTTCGGACTGTTTCCCCATAAAACCATTCCGTAAGCTAGAAATGCGTGGACATGTGCGTAATAGTAGTTCAGCAATACTGTAAGGTTTACAGAGTGTCGTAATCGCCATAGCACATAACATTGTTTAGAAATGTTGTTACAAACGTAATTAATATGCGATTTCCAAGTAAGGTCACTGTCAATAAATACACCTAAAAATTTTTGGGTGTGACTTTGTTGGATGCTCCTCGAGTCAATTCTAACTAACAGACTGTAATTTGGCGTTTGAAACGAATATGACATGAGGTTTGTTTTAGCGCTATTTAATATTAGACCATTGTTCAGACAATAATCTGTCATTTTTAGGGCACAATTGTTCGAAAGTTCACTAAACCTAATCGCCTAACCACCTTAAACCGTATTTATTTTTGTTTATTCAATTCTATTGTTATACTTAGTAGTTTACCCCTTAAATTAATAATTCTAATTAGAATTTAACTTAAAAAAAAATTCTAATTAGATCGCGATAATAGGTCATTTTTACATTCTTTTCTAAATACGAAGTTTATTGCAATCTAGGGCACGGTTAGTACTCGGATGGGTGACCGCATGCCGTTGTATCTCTTTTTTTTTAATTTTTCTCATGTTTGTCTATTTATTTTAGATTTTATTAATAATAATTGTAATTCCTAATTAGAATTAATTTAGTCTTACCGAAAAAAATATTTTAGTGTTTTAACTTACACATTTTTTTTCTGTTTTTTTGTAATCAAACCTGGCACAATATTTGTAGGTTGTACACAGAAAATAAGGTCTTTCGAATAGCTTAAAAAAATGTTAGGTTGCTATTTGAAAAAAAAAGTTGGATGCCGTTACGGCGCTCCAAATTTTTTTTTCAAAAATCCAGCTTGTTATTTTTCGTTTCAGTATGTCTAATATACATATCCAAAATTTGAACAAAATCCGTCGAGCCGTTACTTCGGAAAATTGCCAACGTGCGCACGTACGAACATACGCACATACGGAAAAAATTTTATTCTTTAAAAGTTTCTTAAAATGATCTAAAACGTCGACATTTGGTGAAATTTTAACATGTCCAAAAAACGGTGATCGCAATAGTCACCTAGCTCAAACTAGGAAGCTAAATATAAACATGTGTACTGTCAAAGACCATTCTCCTACAAGTCTTTGGTACTGTGTAGGGCTTTTAATTTAAAAATCTGTCGACATGGCCTTATGGAACACGCTGTATGCCGAAAAATATGTTTGGGTTACTAAAGGCTGATTCTCACTATACATAACGTTTCCATACCATATTCTTTCCATAACCATTCCGTAAATTATTATACGTAGGAAATTGACCTTTAAGTGATATGTGCGTAAGACATTTAGCCGCACGCTAATACACATTCTTCTTTCCGTTCACATATGAAGGCGAATGTGTATTAGCGCACGAGTAATAATTTACGGAATGGTTATGGAAAGGATATAGAATCAACATTTACACTGCTTCTTGTGTCACAAACTTTTTTTAAATACATTTTTCTCAACCATTTGCGCGCTATTTCCTCCTTCTAGACAACAAATAAATAATTTCTCAAAACTGACAATTTCAGAAGTGATCATAGTCACTCGCGTAGGAACGTTAAGAATTCCTATACTAGGCTTGAATGTTCTATGGGAAAATAATCGATAAATTTTATCGCGACAGGTGTAAAAGATACCCCAATTATTATCTGGCGCGTTGCATACTGTAGCAATACTCCGATTTAGTTTTATTGTGTACTCAAACATTTCCGTATACCGTTAATGGATAGTTAAATCCATAAAATAAATTTTACGAGCACACGTAATTGGTTTCATTATTGACTTTTGTAACAGTTTGTAGTATAGGAATTTTTAATAGGGCGTGTGCCCTACTCATTGTAGTTAGTAGTGTGCTAGATAGAATATGAAAATGAAATACACCCACCCCTTTCGAGGGCGCGAGCCGCACGCCGAGCCCCACGCGGAGCTAGTAGTTTTAGTGTTGGTTTGGGGCGCGCTTATCTTCGACAAACTGACAAGAGCACGCGGCTGTGTATCAAATCATAGGTCAAAACTTAAAAGACTGAACGGATTTTTTTTTAATTGTAAGTACATTTTATTATCGGATTTTTTAGTGGCAGTTCAGAGTCATTTTTTCGCAATTATTGTATGCGAAGTTTGAAAAAGTTTCGCAAATTTGATAGGGAAAGTAGATTCGTTTATCATTATTTATATGTTTCAATTTTATTTTCAGATATGTAGTTAGTATAACGTCCTCAAGCCGAGAAATGCAACCAAAACACGATATAACACAGTGATCTTTGGAGTAAACGGACAAACATTGCTGATAATGTAATTTCTTTCAAGAGTGTACTCGTTAATTACCTAACCGCAATTTTGTTAGAAAACTCCAGTGCCGAGGTGTACCTAATGCGAAATTTTTATGAGAAATAGCTGTGCTTAAAAAGTTTCATTTCTTTCAACTTACCTGATCATGTTATACAAGATCGTAGTTGTGTTTTTGTGTGTCCAACTGTTGCAGAGATTAGTGTCCACTCATAAAAGTGTGTCTTTAGATAGGACTAAGCCATTTTCAAAGTTTACAATAGAACAACTTTTAACAATAAACTTTCCTACCAGGATTTCAGAAGATGTAGATTTAGATCCTTGCAAAGCTGGTAAGTACCAGATAATCGGCTTTATTATTATTACTTTTAGTTTGTTCAACATCCTTTGTGACTGACATAAAACTTCAAAAGCAATGTTGTTTTAAGAACGCACTCAAAGAGATAAGTTAACCTTTTCACGAGCTATTAAATTTCAAATTGCGCAAATAAAAGTTTAACTAGGAATACCTAAAACTGACTCTATTTTGCGCTATAATTAAACACATTAATTAATTGAATTTAGCCTGTAATAACAGTTTTACATACAAATGACCTCGAAAGCATTGAAAATATCTGTTGTACACCTTTACTATACAGACTTCTAATCCTTTCATGACCCTTACAGCCAAAAGCGCTCCAAGGTACCTAATTACATTTGTATACTTCCAGAGGGGACGATAAGATTCGATCGAATACCTATAAAAATCTAAATAAGTTTTGTAGAGTTTCGACTTTTATGATTTGGTATTGAAATTTGCTACCTCAAAGGCCCGCTTTAGTACTAGAATCGCGGTTTATACTGTTTTAAAAAAGTGGAATCAATTCAATGAGTGAACATAAAAACCTTCCTCGTCTCGAACTTTTGAGATCGAGCAAACAGCAAAAAGTTTATGTATGAAAGATTTCGGCTTTAAATTTATCTCAACTCACTTTATTTGATTCGGAATTACCTACCCGCTTTAATATCCCATCGCGACTGTAACAATGAAACAAAAATTTCGTTGCCGTGTTAACGTTAATTATCACTTAATAATGATATAACGCGCTAGTGACAGGTATTCATTTATAATTAGCGGTTCGGGAACATGAGCCAGCTTTAATAATAAAATGTTTCTATTAATTTACCCTTTGAGTGATCATGCGTATGAAGCAAAGGGGAAATGCTTGTTAGTAAACAATATTATCCGTGCAGTCTGTATTTGACAATAACAGATGAAATAACGACGGATTCACCTCCAAAATCGAAAAGTAATTCGATTCGACATTAAAAAATTTAGATTTCAACCAATTACAAATCTGTAAATAGCATTTGTATGGCTTATTGATTACAAAAACCCGCACTTAATGATGAAGCCGTGTGGCATCATTTCGAAGGATTACAACGGTAGTTTCTAGGACAAGGGTTTGATGGCGAGTATGCTCGATGAGAAATTGGCGTAACTTATAATGAAGCCAAAACGTTAAATCCGTGTAATTTTTTAATGTCTTGTTAGAGTCGCAAATGTAGGGGTGGTTTGAAGTTCAAGCGCCCTTGATTTATCGTGCCTTTAAATACAATTTTCAGCAAGTTTAACTTTGAGCAAAAAGATTAGTAGGTCTAGACAAATCGGTAGTTTTTCAGAAACTATGAACTCACGAAACCGTATTTTTTAATCGAGACACGTTTTTCAACGAACGGTTTTTATGGTGTTTTTTGTAATGTTGAATTACTATAATCTTTATATGAGTTTCGGACTTTCGGTATAATTTTTGTCGGGTGCAATGTGTTGTAGGACCTCTCTCTTTATGTGTACTCGTGCAGTCTCACGGGTGTTTACGTTTATATAAACTGAATATTTGCTATTCGAATAATTTTCGAGAAAAAATTAGCACTTAACACATCAAAATAAGACGTTCAATTAATTTAACAAATTCATACAGGGTGTTTTTTTTAAAGATTGTAGATTGATGTAAAGGCGTTGAGTTATTTAAAATGGGCCATGGGGAAATTTCCATTGCGCCAATTGTTCTCAAATCTTGACCTTGCGCTTAGTTATTTCACTGACAGTTCTCGATCTGATTCTTCAAACTGCATCAACGAAGCAGCAACATGTATTCCGCCGCTCGAAAAGGTGTTCATGTAGTGTACAAGAGTGAGCGCAGTGTAGTGTAGTGGTATGCGAGCAATCAGTGCCGAGTATCGGGTATTGTTTGGTTGCCGGTGGAAAACAATTCGAGCCCCGAATTTAATTTCTGACGTTTATATCTCATTTGAATAAATTTGTTGATTTAGAACCAATTTCTACAGTACTGTGGCAGATGATTCACTAGGAAGCTATGACTGAAACAATCAATGCAATGTAAATTTCCCTATGGCCTATTTTAAATAAGTCAACGCCTTTACATTGTCGTCTAGCCTATCTTAAAAAAACACCGTGTATATTTGTTAATTTTGAGCTTCCTTGTAAATAAACAGTTTCGAATATTTTCAAAAATCACATGTTATGTGAGTTGCCTATAAATCAGGTACCAAGTTACTAATTTCCCAAATATACGTCCTATCAATCAAGGACGTCCTTTTTTCCGTATCACAAGGAATTTTGGAAAAAGAGAAAAGGTGGACATTTTAGTCAGATAGAATTGAACGCTTGATTCCATGACACTGTAAAATAATATAATTATTTTCTGAGTTAACAGGATTTGTTGGGTAGTACCTAAAATTCCGAAAATCCCAAAAATATGGGTAAGAAGCAAAATGCTACTACCTCAATCACAACCAGAAAATACTGCTTCTTTTTAGGTACTACCCAACAAATCCTGATAACTCAGAAAATAATTATATTATATTTGACAGATTTGAGATGGAATCAAGCGTTCAATTCTATCTGACCAAAATGTCCACCTTTTATTATTATATGTTGCCTTGTGACATTAAAATAAAAAAATAAAAGCAATAGACAAACATGAGCAAAAATTAAAAAAAAAAGAGAGAGGTGTCCCAAGCGATCACCCATCCAAGTACTGACCGGAACCGACGCTGTTTTTAACGTGCTATGGCCGTTACTGTTCTAAGGGAAACAATTGCAGAATTTTTTCTTAAAAAACGAGACAAGGAAAAGGATGCGATTCAGGGCCCTCGCACACACAACTACTTGTCGTCGCCACTGGTGGTCGCCACACGCTATGGACCGTAGTTTATATGCAGTTTTAATGGATCCAGCGCAAACACAGCGTTCGGTGTAGCTTATTCGAGCCACACGTTACGGCAGCAGCCGAGTCTCGCTGGTTGTCGCAGAAGTCGCCCACTCGTTGTATGTACGGTAGAATTGAGCCACGGTGGCGACCACCTGTGTCAACCACTTGTGGTCGTGTATAACCACGTGTGGTCGCCACGAGAAGCGCCAACAAGTAGTTGTGTGTGCTAGGGACCTTAGGGCTTTGCGCACTTTATAAAAGATCGTTAAACCATTTTCGCATGCTTGACGTAAAATGCATCAAGATCGCGTAAGGAAAATGCGTTGAGTCATGTGTTAAGAAAAAACGCAACAGTAGAAGGAATCCAAAACAAAGCAATTTTCGTTTATGTCCCAATAAAAAATTAAACGTAATTAATAATCGTTTAAGATATAACATCCAAATTACATTGAATTCTGTAAGAGGTCAACAAAAATTTTCCTGTGGGAATTTAAACAATTTAGTGTTTAGTAATAAAACATAAAACAGCACCTACAAATTAATATGACTTTTGGCAGTGCATTTGTCGGTATTTGTATATTAGGCATAAAGGATGTAAGACTGTCAAAAACGGTTTTTTTGTGAAATATTTGCTTTGAACTAGGAAGCTGCTCTGTCAATTTGGCAACCATGGTTTTCTGTTGAATCCTTTTATTCGCATTTGCACTTTGCTACCTTACCCGAAGTAGCGCTGCGATGTTATGATACGCATAACGTTTCTGGTCCGATTGAAAAACTGTTCCACAATTGGGTTTTTAAATAATAATAATAATAATTTAATAATAATAATTTGTTAGCGCTAATAACAAAACTGTTTTACGCAAGTCGGTTAATATATACAGGATATAAAGACTATTATATTACACATTTAAAGACAGTTAAACTTATAATGTAAAAAGTCGTTTATATTGTAAAATGCCTGGCTTATTAGGTGCTTCTTTAAACATTTACTAAATGAATTTGTGCAGTCTAGTTCTTTCATGTGTTAGGGCAGAGCGTTGTACAATTTAATACCAATATGATTTACACCAGTCCTTGTTTTATTTAATCTTAAAGCAGGAATCACTATGCTATTTTTTTGGCTAGTGCAGCAATGCAGCTGGTTATTTTTATTTGTTGTATAGACTCAAGTTGTTATGAACATAGAGTATGCACTGATATATGTAAATTGATGGTAATGTGAAGATATTTAGGTTGATAAATGCGCTCTTACAATCCTCTCGATATTTTAATCCAATTACACGCACTACCCGCCTCTGAATTCTAAATACATCATTAAAGGTGGCAGAATGTCCCCAACATATCGTATTATAGGAAAGTATACTATGTATTTTGCCAAAATAAGCAGCCATGAGTACCTTTTTGGATACAGTTTTTGATAGCGTTCTTAAAAGGTATGTCGCTTTCGAGATTTTTTCCTTCACGTTCGTAGTGTGTTTACTCCAGGTCAATTTGTCAATTCGTCGTTTGCACTCCCAAAAATAAAATAAATTTGATAAAGAATCCACCTACAAAATTTCATCCTAATCGGTCCATTCGTTTATGAGTTATCGTGCTAACGGACGGACAGACACCACAAAATTATAAACTCACTAGGAGCTCGTTAATAATCGTTGTACCAAATATCACGATCACAGAGCAAGTTATATTTATGTTTTAGAGAAAAAACTAGATTTTTAGTTTTTGATCCGTTGAGACTTAGTCTATTAGCTGTGAACCAGTCGTTGGCAGATTTTTGTACTTGCACCATACTTCTAAGTAGGTAACTGTTTCGTGTTGACATACATTAGAAATAGTATGGGTCCTGTACTGAACCTTGTGGGACTCCCGGGGACTCCGTACCTATTTGGAAGCGCATGGGAAGCCACAGACCGATACATCACGTACTAACTTCGTTCTGTCAAGTAGGAGCTTAGTAGCTTGACAGCAGCCTTAGTGCCTGAATACACTATGCGTTTTAAACGCATCCTTTCA